AAGACTAGGAGAGCTTTCCATCGCCAAATTTATTTATCTATGAATAAATCTTTAAAAACTTCCAACAGGGACTTAAAAACCTCATTGTTTTCTTCGTAAAAACAATGAATTCAGATCAAATTAAATAAAAAAATCTGGTGGGTGGTGATTTTTTAACAACAAAAAAAAAAAAAAAAAAAGGTAAAAACTAAGTTGGATAGTTGCATTGACCACTTTAAAGGAGAGCCGAGTGATGGATCGATGGGTGGTAGAAGGTAAAAAGTGGGGAGGGGGGTTAGTGCAGATCAGATCTATGTAGTCTGTTCTATCAGTTGGCCGCCAGTCCTGTCGCTTCGGATGAGAGCCTGGAGAGAGACACATTGAGAGATCGAAAGGGGGAGACAATAAGCCAAGCTGTGTGTTCCAAATCAGATCACACACACACGATAAAACCTTTTTACAATTTAAACCTTTTACAAACCTCACCGAAGCTTCTTACGATTCACAATGCAGAAACATCTACCCAATAGAAACAAACCCCGTCTGTAGATTAACATACCAAAACAGCTGAGAAGAATGCCATTTCCTTGACATCACATCCCAAGTCCTAAACAATGTATTCAACTTCTTTCCTGTCCTCTTAATTGTTGTCACTGACTTCTGACCAGTACTAAAATGGGTCGTAAAGCAGCAGAGAGCAGCAGTTGAGCTCTGCTAAACAGACTATAGCCATAGCAGTAGAGGTCTATGGCTCGATTCAAATCGTTGTTAACTACTTTAGTTACGATGACATCACTTTCCTGAAGTTGTACAGGTCCAATGACTCATAATGAGGAGGGGGATTTAATTAGATAACATATGATACCCGAGGATAAACTATTAACGTGATCATGGCGCCCCAGTGAGACTAGTTTAACATCAAACATTTGACACTGAACGTGTTAAAACAAGGATATCAGCATTATAATAAAACAGTTCACAACAAATGTAACCAGCTCCTACAGATAATACCCAGGTATGTCAAAGTCCACATTCAGATATTTTCCTCAAATAAATGAAATACAGTTTGAGATCTTAATATGATTATATTATTATGGCATGAGAGGTGTTAAACAGATAACTACGATCAGTAGTATGCTTCAGCTTAGCAGAAATGGCTAATGGTGAGAAGAATGCCAGTAAAGCGAGGGAGAAGGAGGAGCAGAGGAAAACAGAGAATGAGGAGGGGCAATGGAAGGTAGGAGATAGCAGGAAGGAGGTGTATAGGGAGGAGCAAGGAGCGCTGGAGCAGGTAGGAGGTTAGGGTTAAACAAGACGAGGAAAGAATGGACGGTCAGACTGGGAGAGGGAGGAAACAGGTGTGGTAGGAGGAGGTTCAGAAGGTGGTGGGAAAAGACAGAGACAGTAGGGAGAGAGAGAGGAGGTACAGACAGTGAGTGAGGGAGGAGGAGGGGTAAGAGACTAAAGTCGGAGGGAGAGGAGGGTGTTACAGACAGGATGAGTCAGGAGTAGGAGAGTGGTACAGACGACTAGTCAGGAGGAGAGGAGGTGTACAGACAGACTGGTCAGGAGGGAAGGAGGGTAACAGACAGCTGACAGTGAGGGGGAGAGGAGGGTAACCAGACAGCTGACGTGGGGAGGAGAGGGGGAAACAGACAGACTGATCAGTAGGAGGGGGATGGGAGGTGGTTACAGAAGACTGAAGTCAGGAGAGAGGAGAGGTGAGGAGGTAAAGACAGACTGAGCAGAGGGAGAGCGGAGGAGGTAGGGGTACAGACAGACTGAAGTGGAGGGAGAGAGGGGAGGTAACAGACAGACTGCAGTCAGGGAGGAGGAGGGGTGGTAACAGACAGACTGACAGTCAGGAGGGAGAGAGGGGTAACAGACAGACTGACAGTCAGGGGGGAGAGGAGGGGTAACAGACAGACTGACAGTCAGGAGGGAGAGGAGGGGTAACAGACAGACTGACAGTCAGGAGGGAGAGGAGGGGTAACAGACAGACTGACAGTCAGAGGGAGGGAGGAGGGGGTATAACAGACAGACTGACAGTCAGGAGGGAGAGGAGGTAACAGACAGACTGACAGTCAGGGAGGGAGAGGAGGGGTAACAGACAGACTGACAGTCAGGAGGGAGAGAGGGGTGGTAACAGACAGACTGACAGTCAGGAGGGAGAGAGGAGGGGTGAGGGGTAACAGACAGACTGACAGTCAGGAGGGAGAGGAGGGGTAACAGACAGACTGACAGTCAGGAGGGAGAGGAGGGGTAACAGACAGACTGACAGTCAGGAGGGGAGTAGGGGTAGGGAGGAGGGGGTAACAGACAGACTGACAGTCAGGAGGGAGGAGGTACAGACAGACTGACGTCAGGGGGGGAGGGGTAACAGACAGACTGACAGTCAGGAGGAGAGAGGAGGGGTAACAGACAGACTGACAGTCAGGAGGGAGAGGGAGGGGTAACAGACAGACTGACAGTCAGGAGGAGAGAGAGGAGGGGGTAACAGACAGACTGACAGTCAGGAGGGAGAGGAGCAGAGAGTCAGGAGGTAGAGGGACAGACAGACTGACAGTCAGGAGGGAGAGAGGGGTAACAGACAGACTGACAGTCAGGGGGAGAGGGGGGTAACAGACAGACTGACAGTCAGAGGGAGAGGAGGGGAACAGACAGACCTGACAGTCATGAGGGGAGAGGAGGGGGTAACAACAGACTGACAGTCAGGAGGGAGAGGAGGGGTAACAGACAGACTGACAGTCAGGAGGGAGAGGAGGGGTAACAGACAGACTGACAGTCAGGAGGGAGAGGAGGGGTAACAGACAGACTGACAGTCAGGAGGGGAGGAGGGGTAACAGACAGACTGACAGTCAGGAGGGAGAGGAGGGGTAACAGACAGACTGACAGTCAGGAGGGAGAGGAGGGGTAACAGACAGACTGACAGTCAGGAGGGAGAGGAGGGGTAACAGACAGACTGACAGTCAGGAGGGAGAGGAGGGGTTAACAGACAGACTGACAGTCAGGAGGGAGAGGAGGGTAACAGACAGACTGACAGTCAGGGGGAGAGGAGGGGTAACAGACAGACTGGACAGTCAGGAGGGAGAGAGGGGTAACAGGGTAACAGACAGACTGACAGTCAGGAGGGGAGAGGAGGGGGTAACAGACAGACTGACAGTCAGGAGGGAGAGGAGGGGTAACAGACAGACTGACAGTCAGGAGGAGAGGAGAGAGAGGGGGGTAGGGGTAACAGACAGACTGACAGTCAGGAGGGAGAGGAGGTACAACAGCAGACGACAGTCAGGAGGGAGAGGTAACAGACAGACTGACAGTCAGGAGGGAGAGGAGGGGTAACAGACAGACTGACAGTCAGGAGGGAGAGGAGGGGGAGGTAACAGACAGACTGACAGTCAGGAGGGAGAGGAGGGGTAACAGACAGACTGACAGTCAGGAGGGAGAGGAGGGGTAACAGACAGACTGACAGTCAGGAGGGAGAGGAGGGGGGGTAACAGACAGACTGACAGTCAGGAGGGGAGGAGGGTACAGACAGACTGACAGTCAGGGGAGAGAGGGGGTAACAGAAGACTGACAGTCAGGAGGGAGAGGAGGGGTAACAGACAACTGCATCAGGGGGGAGAGGAGGGGTAACAGACAGACTGACAGTCAGAGGGGAGAGGTAGGGGTAACAGACAGGACCTGGACAGTCGGAGGGAGAGGAGGGACTAAAAGGACAGACCTGACAGTCAGGAGGGAGTAGGAGGGGTAACAGACAGACTACAGTCCAGCGGAGGGAGGAGGAGGGGGTAAACAGACAAAACTGACAGTCAGGAGGGGAGATGGAGGGGTAACAGACAGACCTGACAGTCAGGAGGTAGAGGAGGACTAACAGAAAAGACTGACAGTCGGAGGGCGAGGAGGGTCAACAGACAGACGGACAGTCAGGAGGGGAGAGGGAAGGGGAACAGACAGACTGACAGTCAGGAGGGAGAGGGAGGTAACAGACAAACTGACAGTCAGGGGGGAGAGGAGGGTGTAACAGACAGCCTGACAGTCCAGGAGGGAGAGGAGGGGTAACAGACAGACTGACAGTCAGGATGGGAGAGGGAGGGCTAACAGACAGACTGACAGTCAGGAGGGAGAGGAGGAGGTAACAGACAGACTGACAGTCATGAGGGGGTGAGGGGGTAACAGACTGACAGTCAGGAGGGGGAGAGGAGGGGTAACAGACAGACTGACAGTCAGGAGGGGGTGAGAGTCTGATAGACAAGGCAATAGGAGAACTAGGCATAGTAGCCACCAGTGAGTACACGGGGAGATGACATCATTAGAAGTCTGACTCATGTTTCAAGAGACAATGTGCGTGTTTGAGATAGACAATGTTGCAGCCGGACTGCGCAGAGTCGCTGATCTACAAATCACCTTGAATTCCAAATACCTACTCATTATGTGATCAAGATGAGTGATTATGTGCATTGTCTTGTTTAAACTGATCCCCACAAACACACTAAACTATTCAGCAGTGAGCCAGTACAATAACAGTACATGATATAGAGGTTGGTGGAGGAGGTTAGGCAGTCAGTCGAACACAAAACACTGAACACATTGTACTGTAGGCAGATGGACTGGGAGGCGCCCAAATGTCAACGGCCCAAGTACAGTGGTGTAGGGTGGTGGGTGGATTCTCTGTTCTACAGAAAATACCAAAAGGGGCATGGTAGAATACTAGGCTACTCCAGTTCTGGGGAGCGGCAGGCTTTTGTTCCAACCCAGCTCCGTGTTAGTTAGTGTTGGGCCAGATCAAAAGCCCGCTGCACCAACCAACTGTGGTGATCCAGGACCAGACACCAAAAATCAAAGAATGTCCCAGAACCCGAAGTCCACGGGTTGGAGGATTCCAGGAACCAGGAGGGAACATGCAGGAAGGTCCTCCAATTGGGGAAACCTCCATCCTAGGAATTTTGGGAACTTTTCTGGAATTTTGCAACGCCAAGTTGATCTATCCCCCTGACTCTAGAAGGACAACAGATGGTAGTTGGTTAAAAAGCTTGTTGTAACTGTGATGTTGTGTCTGACCTGGCGTTGATGAGGTACTCTGCCAGGCTGATGGAGGCGGCGGAACCAGTGATGGTGACCTGTCTGTCCGCGGAGCCCTCCACGGGGTTGGCTATCTTTATCTGGGCACCCGACATCTGCCGGATCTCATTGATCTTAGAACCCTGGCGACCGATGATGCAGCCAATCAACTAGGGGAGAGAGAACCAGGAAGTCAATTAAGCCAACCAACTAGAGTGGATTTGATTTGATAGTGTGAACTGTCCAATCACTTGATGGAAATGGGAAGGGTCAGAGTCATCACTGTGGAAATACTTACATCATTTGGAATGGTCATCTCATGGGAGCTAGTTTGGGCAGAGGCATCCATCCCTCCTAAATCAACAACACAAAAATACAAATATGTATAAATAAACAACCAGGACCAAGAGGAACATATTCATTATATTTAAACACCATTATTGAGGTGGCATGTTCATTACAACAAAATGTTTTTGTCAAGGATTCCTTTTTTTTTATCAGTGTGACACACTAGCGATGGCCTAACAGCCAAAACATTTGTCTTTCACACCTGTTGTCTCAATGAATGAATTAAAAATTTTAAAATTTTAAAAACAGCAAATAACTGAGTGAAACCTACGACTGATCTCATTTTGGTCCACACACCAGTTCTGAGCGCAGCGGTTTCAAGAACCTTTTATCTTTTTCTTTCTTTAAAAAGGATTGTATGGTTAAGTCCCTAGTACCTTGGAAGCCCTGGTTGTTGGGGGCCATGGGAAAGGGACTCTGCTGCATTGCTAGCTGGTGTAGCTTGGTGAGCTGTGGAGAGATGGAGGCAGAGGAAGACTGTGAGAGCAAGAGGGGGGGGGGGGGGGGGGGGGGGGGGGGGGGGGGGACGGAAAAGGAAAGAGACGGTAAAAGAAGCATGGTCAGTACAGTACCGAAACCATTTCATTCACCATTCAGACACGCATAATAGCAGTTGGAGTCGTGTCCTTTAGGAACCAAATGGAAACAGGGAGGGACTAAGAAATGCTCATTTTACGATTGGTAAAACCTTTTCTGTTGCAATGCACCGGCATGCGCTAATGAACAAGACCCAGTTGTCTTGACCAGTTAGCCCGTCTTCTCCTAAAACTATTGCTCTAAAATGGACCATTGTGGTGTGGCTTGTGGAATCATTCTTCGTTTTATTCATTTATACCCCCATGGTCTTTCCACTGTAGCTCAGGAGAACTCGGACTCAGTTTGGAATGTTTGCTTGCAGTCTTCTGGCAGATGGATAGGACACTACGTATGTAGTAGGAGATCTCTCGTGGCCCCTACCAAAACCAACCAGGGCCATGGTATAATCAACACAGTATCACTGAGACAGTAATACAAGGCTTATCCTAAACTAACACCTCAATCCTAAACCCATAGTGATATGCTGAGGATGTGAGTTGTTAATGCACCAGCAACCTGTTAATTCACTAGACAACTGTTAATATACAGCAAACTGTTAATACACTTGATGGTAGGGAGGACAGGTATTGTAGAGAAGGGTTGGTAGGGAGGATAGGTATTGTAGGGTAGAGAAGGGTTGGTAGGGAGGATAGGTATTGTAGAGAAGGGTTGGTAGGGAGGATAGGTATTGTAGAGAAGGGTTGGTAGGGAGGACAGGTATTGTAGAGAAGGGTTGGTAGGGAGGATAGGTATTGTAGAGAAGGGTTGGTAGGGAGGACAGGTATTGTAGGGTAGAGAAGGGTTGGTAGGGAGGATAGGTATTGTAGAGAAGGGTTGGTAGGGAGGACAGGTATTGTAGAGAAGGGTTGGTAGGGAGGACAGGTATTGTAGAGAAGGGTTGGTAGGGAGGACAGGTATTGTAGGGTAGAGAAGGGTTGGTAGGGAGGATAGGTATTGTAGAGAAGGGTTGGTAGGGAGGACAGGTATTGTAGGGTAGAGAAGGGTTGGTAGGGAGGACAGGTATTGTAGGGTAGAAAAGGGTTGGTAGGGAGGATAGGTATTGTAGGGTAGAAAGGGTTGGTAGGGAGGATAGGTATTGTAGGGTAGAGAAGGGTTGGTAGGGAGGATAGGTATTGTAGAGAAGGGTTGGTAGGGAGGACAGGTATTGTAGAGAATGGTTGGTAGGGAGGATAGGTATTGTAGAGAAGGGTTGGTAGGGAGGACAGGTATTGTAGGGTAGAGAAGGGTTGGTAGGGAGGATAGGTATTGTAGAGAAGGGTTGGTAGGGAGGACAGGTATTGTAGAGAAGGGTTGGTAGGGAGGACAGGTATTGTAGAGAAGGGTTGGTAGGGAGGACAGGTATTGTAGGGTAGAGAAGGGTTGGTAGGGAGGATAGGTATTGTAGAGAAGGGTTGGGTAGGGAGGACAGGTATTGTAGGGTAGAGAAGGTTGGTAGGGAGGACAGGTATTGTAGGGTTAGAAAGGGTTGGTAGGGAGGATAGGTATTGTAGGGTAGAAAAGGGTTGGTAGGGAGGATAGGTATTGTAGGGTAGAGAAGGGTTGGTAGGGAGGATAGGTATTGTAGAGAAGGGTTGGTTAGGGCGGATTAGTGGTATTGTAGAGAATGGTTGGTAGGGAGGACAGGTATTTGGTAGAGAAGGGTTGGTAGGGAGGATAGGTATTGTAGAGAAGGGTTGGTAGGGAGGACAGGTATTGTAGGGTAGAGAAGGGTTGGTAGGGAGGACAGGTATTGTAGAGAAGGGTTGGTAGGGAGGACAGGTATTGTAGGGTAGGAAGGGTTGGTAGGGAGGACAGGTATTGGGTAGAGAAGGGTTGGTAGGGAGGATAGGTATTGTAGTAGAAGGGTTGGTAGGGAGGACAGGTATTGTAGGGATTTGTAGAGAAGGGTTGGTAGGGAGGACAGGTATTGTAGGAGAGAAGGGTTGGTAGGGAGGACAGGTATTGTAGGGTAGAGAAGGGTGGTAGGGAGGATGTATTGTAGAGAAGGGTTGGTAGGGAGGACAGGTATGTGGTAGAGAAGGGTTGGTAGGGAGGATAGGTATTGTAGGGGGTAGAGAAGGGTTGGTAGGGAGGACAGGTATTGTAGGTAAGAGGGTTGGTAGGGAGGAAGGTATTGTAGGGTAGAGAAGGGTTGGTAGGGAGGATAGGTATTGTAGAGAAGGGTTGGTAGGGAGGACAGGTATTGTAGGGTAGAGAAGGGTTGGTAGGGAGGACAGGTATTGTAGAGAAGGGTTGGTAGGGAGGATAGGTATTGTAGGGTAGAGAAGGGTGGTGGTAGGGAGGAAGGTATGGTAGGGGTATGAGAGAGGGTTGGTAGGGAGGACAGGTATTGTAGAGAAGGGTTGGTAGGGAGGACAGGTATGTAGAGAAGGGTTGGTAGGGAGGACAGGTATTGTAGGGTAGAGGTAGAGGGTTGGTAGGGAGGACAGGTATTGTAGAGAGAAGGGTTGGTAGGGAGGGGTATTGTAGAGAAGGGTTGGTAGGGAGGACAGGTATTGTAGGGTAGAGAAGGGTTGGTAGGGAGGACAGGTATTGTAGAGAAGGGTTGGTAGGGAGGATAGGTATTGTAGGGTAGAGAAGGGTTGGTAGGGAGGACAGGTATTGTATGGTAGAGAAGGGTTGGTAGGGAGGACAGGTATTGTAGGGTTAGAGAAGGGTTGGTAGGGAGGACAGGTATTGTAGGGTAGAGGAAGGGTTGGTAGGGAGGACAGGTATTATAGGGTAGAGAACGGGTTGGTAGGGAGGACAGGTATTATAGGGTAGAGAAGGGTTGGTAGGGAGGATAGGTATTGTAGGTAGAGAAGGGTTGGTAGGGAGGATAGGTGATTGTAGGGTTAGAGAAGGGTTGGTAGGGAGGACAGGTATTGTATGGGTAGAGAAGGGTTGGTAGGGAGGACATGTATTGTAGGGTAGAGAAGGGTTGGTAGGGAGGACAGGTATTGTAGGGTAGAGAAGGGTTGGTAGGGAGGACAGGTATTATAGGGTAGAGACGGGTTGGTAGGGAGGATAGGTATTGTAGAGAAGGGTTGGTAGGGAGGATAGGTATTGTAGGGTGAGAGAAGGGTATTGGTAGGGAGGAAGGTAGTAGGGTAGCAGGTTTGTAAGGGTAGAGAAGGGTTGGTAGGGAGGACAGGTATTGTAGGGTAGAGAAGGGTTGGTAGGGAGGACAGGTATTGTAGGGTAGAGAAGGGTTGGTAGGGAGGACAGGTATTGTAGGGTAGAGAAGGGTTGGTAGGGAGGACAGGTATTGTAGGGTAGAGAAGGGTTGGTAGGGGAGGGGGACAGGTTGGTAGGGAGGTATTGTAGGGTTAGAGAAGGGTTGGTAGGGAGGACAGGTATTGTAGGGTAGAGAAGGGTTGGTAGGGAGGACAGGTATTGTAGGGTAGAGAAGGGTTGGTAGGGAGGACAGGTATTGTAGGGTAGAGAAGGGTTGGTAGGGAGGACAGGTATTGTAGGGTGGAGAAGGGTTGGTAGGATAGGGAGCATATTGAAGCACAGTGAGCGTAGAGAAGGCATGGTAGGTCAGAGAGGATAGGAACACCGGAAGCAGCAATGGAAAGGTGACAACAGAACATCACTTACATCTGGCTGGGGTATGGCATGTTGTCCTTGAACGGCGTACGCCTGAAACAACAACAAAGTGTTCATAGGCATCCCATCAACATCTCGACTCACAGCCACAAGAGCCGCTTGTGCTTCTACACACACAGGCCACGTCCCAAATGGCAGCCTATTCACTTCAGTGCACTACTTGTGACCACAACCCCTGGTCTAAAGTAGTGCACTATAAAGGGAATAAGGTGCCATTTGGGAAACACTCATACTACCACGACCACCTCTGAACTCTCTTTATAACTACATTTGGAAGTTGTATTCTTGTACAAAGTATCCACATTATCTGGAAAGATACATTTTCAAGAGATATTAAAGCAATTGAAAACACAGAAAACAGGGTGGGTGGGTGGGTGGAGGGAGGGTGGGATTGGGTGGGTGGAGGGTGGGATGGTGGAGGGAGGGATGGTGGGTGGGTGGAGGGAGGTCTACTCTTTAGATCCCATCAGTAACATAACAACAAAGTCTGGGGAAAAGGATTAAACTTGGTGGTGAAAAGGCAAAAAATCAATAAGACAATTTTGTTGAACTTGTAATTTCCCAGTAAAAATATAAAAAGGACAGATGATAGATCAACTACACGTCATTTTATTCTCCCAGCAACCCCCCAATCGCCTTTCAAGCCCCGGTAGGTTGATCAAATGATCTCCTGAATAAAAATTTTTTGCAAACATACCTGTCCTCCTGCGAAGATGACAGGGGATCCTGAAGGTTTGGGTCGGTATGGGATGGTGACCCCCTTAGGGGGAGACTGTAGGACACACAAGAGGGGAGGAGAGAAGGAGAATGGGTTTAATTCAACAAACCCTTTTGTAGAATTGAACAAGAGATACTATTACCAAAGAGAATGCAAGGGTCATTTCTCAATTAAGAAAATGTATATTTATGATGAATTAAATAGATGAATGATCTGAGGATAGTACTTACACTTACCTCGAGCATAACCACGCAGATCTGCTTGACACACTCGATAATGGACTGGGGGGTCCCTGCGATGGTGATGGCCCGTTCTGTTGAGTTAGGAAGCATGTCTCCTGCCACCTGAACCTGAGCGCCTGTCGACTGGAGAGGACAGAGAGAGAGAGAGACAGATGCAGGTTGACTGGTCGACTTCAGTTGCTACAATGTGCAAATAGCCTTGTAAGTTCAACAAAATTGTCTTATTGATTTTTTTGCCTTTTCACCACCAAGTTTTTAAATCCTTTTCCCCAGACTTTGTTGTTATGTTACTGATCGCTTCTAAAGAGTAGACCTCCACCCACCCCTCCCTCCACCCACCGGTGTTACTGTTTCTGGGAGAATGAATCGAATCCCTAAATACCAAAGCCTCTGCCAGGCAGTGTATGGTTCTCATAACAATGAAAACATTTAGCTATTATATCTGTTTTCGATTGCTTTAATATATCTTTAAAAATGTATTATACAAATACATTTTATGTATGGTGTTGATAATTTCATTACAATGTACTATGATTTTTTTTAAATTGAGATGTCTGAGATTCTATATTGATTGAGTTTCAAGTGACGTATCAGGGGGTCATTAGTTGGATTCCATTCTACATAATCGTTCATGGTCTTCCACCAACCTCTCTGATTTCTTTGATCTTACAGCCTCCCTTGCCGATCAGGGAACCACACTGGCTGGCTGGCACCACGATGCGTAGGGTGACCGGGGGCTTGCTGGTGGCCGTGCTGTTCGTCATGGAGCTGCTGATATCCTGGGAGACAAAAGGGGAGATTCATAAAGTTATTACTTACTCTCCAGCTCCACTTTTAAACCACAATAGTAGATGGATGTGTAGGTGTTCAGTCACTCTGAGGACAACTAAAACTTGAAAGAAAAAAAAACGGAGGTATTGTTAAATAAATAAATTTATTTAAGAGCAGCTGAACACGTCTCCAGTCTGTTCATCTATCCTGCGCCTTGGCTGGACTGAGATGTAGCAACATCATATTTCATACAGATGCCATAATGACAAAATGAACAATCTGTCCAATCCAGGACAGTGTTACCACAAGTTACCTCTTCCAGCTTTTCGATGATCATGGAGAATGCTTTGAAGATGGCGGTGGTGGGGCCTGCCAGAGTGATGATCCTCTCAGGACAGTTCCCCTCTGAGATGTTGATGCGAGCCCCGCTCTGGACACCACAGGGGAGGAGATGTTAAATTAGACGATCAGGAAAAATTTACTTTCCAGCGGCAGCAACTGCACAAACAAAAATGCGTGTGTGTGTGTGTGCTTCTCACCTCTTCTCTCATCTTCTTCACAGATTCACCTTTCTTGCCAATGATGCTTCCAACTTCCTAAAAGAGAAACACAGATGAATGAATAATCATTCCAACCGATAATGTGAAAAAGGCATGTGGACCATTAATAGAGGTGGTTTGGTGAACCATGCTTAATGAGTGACCTGGTCTGAGACCTGAAGACTTGTGCTTGCTCCCCGAGCTAATGTCTAAGAGGCTTTAGCTCAGCGGGCCAAAACATTTTTGTTGCACCCTACTGTCACCTGCTGTGGGAGGTCACACACACATTGCCGTGCATCAGCAATCTAATGGTCATGGTGACATTGCCTAGCCTTTAGCTCAGCGGGCTAACACTCAGTCGCGCCTTCTGTGGGAGGTCACTCACCTTGCCGTGCATCAGCAATCTAATGGTGAGGGTGACATTGAGTCCTCCTTCAATCACACCGGAGTCCATAACTAGCACTGGATGGGAGTAGCTACTGCTGAAGGGGTCACAACTGGGGGTCTTTGGTCACAACGGTGGGATCTGGAGGTCAGACGAGAACAGTAAGACATTTTAGAATAGTGCAAAGGAAGAAGAGTTAAGAGAGTATAGGGCAGGAGAACAATAGAGTACAGAATGTGAGATCAGTGAACTGAATACAATCGCTGGGTTTTGGTTTTTACCCATCAGCCTATGACGCGGCACGCTAACACCAATTAGCAAGCGGGCTATTGATCTCAAGAAATTTGATAGCATATTACTGTTTACACCGGGGTTTGTTAAACTATGGGTCGGAACACCAAGTGGGCCCTGGGCATGTAAGAGGTGGGTCACGAGTTATGAGAATACATCTATAAAATCACACAGAATTTATTTTTAAATTGGGTCATGGGAGGTTAAATTTTTTCAATTGGGTCTGGAAACTGAAACAATAGAAGAACCCATGATTTACAAGTAAGCTGCTGAAACCATCCACATAATGTCAGGTTTCTTTCAGCGGTAGCTACTTTTAGTTCAATGGAGGAGATTTATGTGGACACTTATACAAGCATAACACCTGATCTAAACTGATTTGCCATTATTATAAGAGGGAAACGAATACATTTGCAAAACAAGAACGTAGCTAAGTATCTCAACTCCACCGTAGCATCGTGTGGAGTTGAGATATGATTGGCTAACAAGAATGGGGCCTTCTAGTGTGAGGTTGTTGCATGCATGATTATAATTAGTACTGTATCATGATTCATGCAAAGTAACCTGCCTTTAGACTAAAAGTAACAATCTAACTTCGTTGGAGTGGTCATCATAGCAATGATTCATGTTCACGTGCATCTTTAAGCTTGCTAGTAACTTAGCACACTTAGCTGGCTACCTACACAGAGATACATTTCGCTAGCTAGCATGTTAGGCTAACTAACAAGCTAGTTAAATGGTCCCAAGAGTGAATCCCGAGCGAAACAAACTTGCTATTCAAGTTCGTGAATGAATGGACAATGTAAATGTAAATGTGTCCGATTACTTGGCTGCAATGAATTCAACTTCACTCATAACTAGCTGCATGCAGTTGAGCCAGTAACCGGCCGGCGCCCTCCAGTCTAGCATTTAGCTAGCTAGCTATCTTTATGACCTAGCGTAGCATACTAACTGGGTGGCTAGCATCCGTATGGGGAGCATGTGGAGCTTTATCGTATGAATGACTGTCCATTTGTCATTCACGCTAGCAATTTTTCAAGAATATACATCGGTTTCATATCGGCTACAAAACACCCGAACATTGATCATTTACAAATCGACACGCTTAAATAGCAGCCAATTGACTGATAAATAAGATCGTGCTGGCTTTATTATGAGCTGCGTGCATAGTAGTGCGGCCTGGCAAATTCACGTGAAGCCTGACTGTGTGTGCTGCTAGCTAGCAAGATGCGGTGTGCGTTTCTTTTACATTTTATTGCACGCAAATATATATAGATTAAATATTCTTACCTGATCCGTGTTTTGAGATGTGTTGTCGGGGGGAGGGTGGGGTAGAAGGGGAGAGGTTCGGGAGGGTAGAAACCCGGGGGGAGAGTTTTAAAAGGATTCGGGGAAGAGTGATAGCGTGAGATCAGGCGCTCCACTGCTTTACACAAAGACAACAGAACTAGACCCTCTGAACTTCCCCCTTTCACCGAACCCTCCCACAGCGGGGCAAACCCGCCTATCTGGCTACAATCAAACAAACTGCGCACAAAGTTACAGTAGGCGATAGTAAATGTGATGTTACAAAGCTCTGCATGTTGCAATTAGCTGTTACAATGTAACAAACTACTCGAGAATTTACATTGGAATTGTTACAGTATCACATCAAGGTAAAAAAAATATGTTCACGTGAATACAAATGTAGCCAATATTTTTTCTCTGTCAGAGCTGAAATATAAAGTCAAACCCGATAAATATTGTGTTGATGTAAATACAGTACTACACATTTCAATGATTCCAGTATTAAAATCAATATTTATTTAGATTTTTTACTGGGGAAATTCCACACATCTCACTTGCTCAGCTATATCCTATATATTATTTCTATTTGGAAATATATCAACCATTTGAAATATAATTTCTCATCAGTGTAAAGGTACAATATTATACATGATAGTGCATAGTCATGAGGATATGCATACATTCATTGGCCTCTATCCCTAAATGTTAAGACTATGAAGTCATAATTGTGTTAATTATACATACTTTTGTTACAGTGTTATACAAATTCATATTCAAAATGTTTTTTTTTTTTTTCTTCCATTCTTAATAATAGTCCCCCATCCCAACCACAACACATTCCTTAACCTCATTGCAACTTTAAATGGAAAATGTCCTCTTCTTCTATTTTAATTCCAGATGTCTTTCTGACACTGTGTTGGATGTTGTTGGTGACATCACTGGGTGACATTTACTCCTCATCGCTGCTGCTGCTGCTACTACTGCTTGAAGAGTGCTGGGGAGGAAAAAAACATTTTAACATTGACATTTTGGTTATTTAGCAGACTCTCTTATCCAGAGTGACTTACAGTCAGTGCATTCAACTAGGTAAGACAACCACATATCACAGTTGCAAGTTTCTCAATAAAGAAGCTGTCGGTGAAATCCGTGCTAGTAAGAGCTAGTACATAAGTCGTTATCTCAACGACTTAGTAAAGAAAGGCAGCACCACTCACACAACAAAACAAGAAGAAAATAGGTTGACAGATAACCTCGGAAACCCAGAAATAAAATATTGCATCAGATGCTCAATTAAGTTCTGGGGGGTAGATGTGTTTGAAAAGATACTAGCAGAAGCAGGGCGAGAGCTCTACCCCTCTCTCTCTTTGCAAGTTACGGGCAAGCCTATGGGCCAAATGTCCCTTCCCCATCGTGATTTCTCCAAATGATCAGAGACTAAAAATCAACTGGGAACAAAGCAACTGGGAACTGGGAAATCTCAGACTTCCGAGCAATCAAGACAATTTGGACCTCGGGGGGAAAAAATTAGCTCAGACTGGGAAAAATAATGTTAAACGGTCATCCAACCAGGAAACTCTGGCATCTTTCTAGCGCTCTAACTTTTCGACCTGAAGATCACTAACTTTTCGACCTGAAGATCACTAACTTTTCGACCTGAAGATCACCCAGCCCATCTGTTGACAGATGCTACAATACCAGTTATGTTACGTGCGTCAGTCTGCAAGAGATTAGTTGTCAGATGAGAAAAGGACTAAATGCTAACAGCAAACAACAAACACAAACAGAGCCTGATTCACACAAAGACAGCATCTCACTCTCACACAACAAAATAAAAATAAAAAATAGTTTGGCAGCAGGATGAGAAACACAGAAATAAACCAAAAACAAAGAGTTGGGTACACACACATTATTAGTTCTCAGGGCAAGAACCTCGATTTCCAGTCTTCCTAGTCGTGTGATGAACAAAACATGTGAGTATGTTAACGCGAGGCAAACAGGACAGTAAAATACCTCAGAGGGGACCAGACTCTACTCAGAGTACACACAGTAGCTGGATCCCAAATCAATTAAATTTATTTATAAAGCCCTTTTTTACATCAGCAGATGTCACAAAGTGCTATACAGAAACCCAGCCTAAAAACCCCCAAACAGCAAGCAATGCAGATGTAGAAGCACAGTGACACACACAAATGGCACCCTATTCCCTAATGCACTCCTTTTGACCATAGCCCTTAGGGCACTATAGGGAATTTGGTGCTATTTGGGACACACAGAGTGAGTCATGGAACCATCAGTGGGAGGAACCGTCACCTGTCAACCGCACTCAAAATCCACAGACCCTCCCTGTTATTGACTGACACACAAACAAACACACTAAACACACACAAACAGAGACACCCACCTTCCTGTGGCCTCCATGATGCTTCAGGTGTTTATCGGCTTTGTGGGCCTTCTTCGCCTTCTTCATCATCTTCTTTTGCGCCTTGTGTCCACCGACCCCCATCCCGACTCCCGCCACACCCCCAGCCATGCCTGGATGCATGCCCCCGGGGTAAACTCCACCTGGGTGGACCCCACCAGGGTAGGGGCCTGGGTGGACTCCTGGGTAACCAGGTACACCTGGTCCAGCTGGATAAGGGTGTTGTCCTCCTGGGTGTTGTCCATAGGGCATGGATCCCGGAGGCATGGCTGGATTCATACCAGGAGCCATACCAGGAGCCATACCGGATCCCGGAGGCATGGCTGGATTCATACAAGGAGCCATACCAGGAGCCATACCGGGGGGATAGGCAGGGTTTGTGCCAGGCGCGTACATGGGGTTCTGGCCTTGGGGGTGTGCTGGGTTTGGACCAGCAGGGAATGCGGGGTTGTAGGCAGGGGGGAAGGCCGGGTTCTGTCCAGGGGGACCTGAACAGGATTTCACAAACATTGTAATATATCTGACTGATATAACTTTGGCGATAACATGAACATAGCTATGGCATAATACAGTATTAGTACAGTCTACTTACCTTGGCTAGGCCACATCTTATGTCCTGAATATGAGTATGAAAAAGTGGTGATCTCAGATGATCTCCTGGAAGAAACAAAAGCAAAGTACTTTAAACAAAAACGAAAAGAAGACAAGTACAATGATATGTAACTTATTCATAGTCCAGTTATTATCTAGCCTATTCTATTGACAGCAACATCGAGTGGATGTATCACCACCACCTTCCCACGATACACATAACATGACCAGGTTAGTCCACTATAGGGCTTGGTCAATTATAACAAAATATCGGCAATAACTATACAATAATATGATTCTATAAGAAATACTGTCGATTAGCCTATGTAGATAACACATGTAATGCTTATCAACGATCTACAGTTTGACTTTCATACCTGCGGTAGCTTCTTGATGTCGATCTTAGAAAGTTTCTCACGAATTCGTTGCAGTTTCTCTTCCGGATAGGCGTGGGACTAGTAGGGAAATACAATCCTCAGAATTGGTCAGCAAGCCCCGCCCGTCTATAAAATGATGGGTGTGTTCTCTCACCAGCATTATCTTATATTATTTATTGCGCTGATGCGATTGTATTGTTGGTAATGGAAAGATAAACAAACCTAGGAAAAGATGCATCATCATTCAACTCAACAATACTGCATTTTAGGCTATTGCGCAATTGGACGATACAGTCAAGAAAGTGGATTTCAATAGGGGTACTTTAGGTGCGCAGTGTGCGTACACAACTCTATGGGTAGGCCTATTGGACATAATGCGTAAAAGTGTTGTAAAATATGCGCTTATCACCAGACAAGCCCATAACAAGAATGATAATGAACATACGTGCTACAGTAATATGCGAGAATGTTTTTTGTTTTTTTTAAACGAGACATAGACAAAGATTCAGATTCTGCGGTCTTGGAGAAATGTAGATGACGCCCTAGCACCAAATCGAATTGGGTTCCTCAATGTCTAGGCTATTGCAGTGATTTGGTCCCTTTATTGTAGATGTTTTTAAGCCTCCCACCTCACCGAGGTAAAATTAGTTTTATATTGGATACTCGGTTTTCTCTTGTCAATAGCTATTCAACCAATCATGACTATGATATGATATATTCTGAATCAGGGGTGGATGGAGAAAAATCCACCGTTTTTTTATATATATATTTTTTATAATAAGATTTCAGATTTCAATCTTCAATAGCTACTAGACAAAGCGTGCCATAACTATGAAGATGATACACTACATGGCCAAACGCATGTGGACAACCCTTCAAATTAGTGGATTCGGCTATTTCAGCCACACCCATTGCTGACAGGTGTATAAAATCGGGCAGACATGCAATCTCCATACACAAACATTGGAAGTAATATGGCCCGTACTGAAGAGCTCAGTGACTTTCAACGTGACACCGTCATAGGATGGCAGATTTCCAACAAGTCAGTTTGTCAAATTTCTGCCCTGCTAGAGCTGCCCCGGTCAACTGTAAGTGCTGTTATTGTGAAGTGGAAACACCTAGGAGCAACAACGACTCAGCCGCGAAGTGGTAGGCCACACAAACTCACAGAACGAGACCGCCGAGTGCTGAAGTGCATAGCGTGTAAAAATCGTCTGTCCTCGGTTGCAACACTCACTACCGAGTTCCAAACTACCTTTGGAAGCAACGTCAGCACAATAACTGCTAGTTGGGAGCTTTATGAAATGGGTTTCCATGGCCGAGCAGCCGAACACAAACCTAAGATCCCCATGCACAATGCCAAACGTCGGCTGGAGTGATGTAAAGCTCGCTGCCATTGGACTCTGGAGCAGTGGAAACTCATTCTCTGGAGTGATGAATCACGCTTCACCATCTGGCAGTCCGACGGACGAATCTGGGTTTGACGGATGCCAGGAGAACGCTACCTGCCCAAATCCATAGTGCCAACTGTAAAGTTTGGTGGAGAAGGAATAATGGCCTGGAGCTGTTTTTCATGGTTCAGGCTTCTTAGTTCCAGTGAAGGGAAATCTTAACGCTACAGCATACAATGACATTCTAGACGATTCTGTGCTTCCAACTTTGTGGCAACAGTTTGGGGAAGGCCTTTTTCTGTTTCAGCATGACAATGCCCCCATGCACAAATCGAGGTCCATAAAGAAATGTTTTTTTGAGATCGGTGTGGAAGAACTTGACTTGCCTGCACATAGCCCTGACCTCAACCCCATCGAACACCTTTGGGATGAATTGGAACGCCAACTGCGAGCCAGGCCTAATCACCCAACATCAGTGCCCGACCTCACTAATGCTCTTGTGGCTGAATGGAAGCAAATCCCAGCAGCAATGTTCCAACATCTAGTGGAAAGCCTTCACAGAAGAGTGGAGGCTTTTATAGCAGCAAAGGTGGGACACACTCCATATTAATGCCCATGATTTTGAAATGAGATGTTCGACATACAGGTGTCCACATACTTTTGGCCATGTACATTCCAAATCAGTGGAGGATGGACAAACATTATTATTTATTTTTTTTGCTTTCAATCTTCAATAGCTATTGAACGAAGCATGCCATGACTATGAAAATGCTATATTCTGAATCGGGGGAGGATGGAAGAAAATCCTCAGGTTATTTTGCTGTTGAAATTATGATTAGATAATCTTTTAAGCCTGCATTTTTGTCCATCCTCTCCCGATTCAGAATATATCATTTTCATAGTCATGGCATGCTTGGTTCAATAGCTATTGATGAAAGAATACCGTATGTCCACCGAATATCCAAAATAAAACACTTTTTACCTGGGTTCTCAACCATGCTTCAAAACTATTACTGCTGCAGCTCACTCTTTTGATCCTCTAAAATGGACATTATAAATCATTACACCACCCAAAAACAACAGACACAGGCTATTAGACCTACATCATAGACTGAGCTATAATCACAACCGTTCCCATACTCTAATGAGCCTAATATTAGAAGTGGTGTGGCAGGTATCCTAGCGGTTAATAACATTGGACCAGCAACCGAAAGGTTGCTGCTTCGAATCCCTGAGCCGACTAGGTGAAAAATCTGTGACAATTACATTTACATTTTAGTCATTTAGCAGACGCTCTTATCCAGAGCGACTTACAGTTAGTGAGTGCATACATTATTTTTATTTTTCATACCCCCCCGTGGGAATCGAACCCACAACCCTGGCGTTGCAAACGCCATGCTCTACCAACTGAGCTACATTCCTATTACTGGATGTTCATGTGGGAAGACTGTGATGGAAGTTTTCAAAATATTCAATGTCAATGTCAAGTAAGGCACAGTGGTTGAGATCACACTGCCCTCATCCACCTAGATAAGAGGAATACCTATGTGAGAATGGTGTTCATTGACTACAGCTCAGCGTTCAACACCATAGTCCCCTGGTACTGAACGTCAACACGGGGGCCCCACAGGGGTGTGTGCTTAGTCTGTCCCTGTACATAGCTACTGACCCTGGAACTGTCCCTGTATATAGCTACTGACCCTGGAACTGTCCCTGTATATAGCTACTGACCCTGGAACTGTCCCTGTATATAGCTACTGACCCTGGAACTGTCCCTGTATATAGCTACTGACCCTGGAACTGTCCCTGTATATAGCTACTGACCCTGGAACTGTCCCTGTATATAGCTACTGACCCTGGAACTGTCCCTGTATATAGCTACTGACCCTGGAACTGTCCCTGTATATAGCTACTGACCCTGGAACTGTCCCTGTATATAGCTACTGACCCTGGAACTGTCCCTGTATATAGCTACTGACCCTGGAACTGTCCCTGTATATAGCTACTGACCCTGGAACTGACCCTGTATATAGCTACTGACCCTGGAACTGTCCCTGTATATAGCTACTGACCCTGGAACTGTCCCTGTATACAGCTACTGACCCTGGAACTGTCCCTGTATATAGCTACTGACCCTGGAACTGTCCCTGTATATAGCTACTGACCCTGGAACTGTCCCTGTGTATAGCTACTGACCCTGGAACTGACCCTGTGTATAGCTACTGACCCTGGAACTGAGCCTGTATATTTCTGACTTACTTTCTCGTGTTCTTCTTATTTCTATTTCTTGTGTGTTTTTGTTCTACTTTACATTATTTTATAGTACGATATATTGATATTCATTACTGCATTGTTGGGATAAGAGCTAGCAAGAAAGGCCTTTCACTGTACTGCGTGACAACAAACCTTGAAACTTCAACAGGTTGAGTTTCTCCAGTATCTGACTCAGTAGTTAAGCTAGGTATCAGTTCTATGGTATTCCTATCAGTACCTTTCAAATGCATCCTTCCAACCTACCTTCTGTGAGATAACCACTGATCTGTAAGTGGGAGGATAGGGTAAAACGATATCCACTCGAGTGCTTTCACCATCATACCATGTCAGATCAGTGATTTCCTCAAGGACGGAAGACTGGATAAAAAATATTTTAACGGTCACGTCTCCTCCTGTTGCTCCCTCCGGCACTCTGATTCGCCGGTCTACTGAGCCACCGGTCTGAGTGCACCACCTCGGCACCACCTGCGTCTGCGAATTCCACCAACAGGCCATCTCCTTCCTGGGATACCGGATCAGTCCTCAGGGGGCGTTCATGGAAGGAGTGAAGACGGACGCCGTCAGGTCATGGCCAGTCCCCACCACCATCAAGGGCCTACAGAGCTTCCTGGGCTTCGCCAATTTCTACCGTCGTTTCATCAGGTCCTTCAGCTCCATAGCCGCCTGCTCACCTCTCTCCTTAAGGGTGGGCCTCAGAAGCTGGCCTGGAACCCTGAGGCTGACGCTGCCTTCAAGAGACTGAAGGAGAGGTTCACCACAGCGCCCATTCCTAAAACACCCAGATCCATCTCGTCCTTTCATCCTGGAGGTGGACGCATCGGAGGAGGGCGTGTGTGCGGTCCTCTCCCAGCGGCACGGTAAGCCAGAGAAAATGTAT